AAGGAAGAAAAAAAAAAAAAAAAAAAAAAAAAAAGGGGGGGGGGGGGGGGGGGGGGGGTTTCGGCAATGATACCTCAAAAAAGAAGCACTGAAGGAAAAAACGAAAAACATGTTAATGAAGGTGAAAGAGAGGACAGAGGAGCGGACGGCAAGAGGGGGTGGGATGGAGAAGGGGACATGTGATGGCAGAGGAGCGGGGACCTTGGAGGAGGAGGAGGAGGAGAGTGCGGACGAGAGAGAGAATGATGAAATCCACGGAGAAAGGGGATGGAGGAAGCAAATGAAGAAGAGAGAAGTAAAGGAAGGGAAGAGGGAGGAGTGTGGGGATTTACCAAAGCGCAGAGAGAAGAGAAGGTGGGAGAGCACAGAGGAAATCGACAAGGAAAATAGGAACCAGAAAATGTGCAAATAGTCAAAGAGGAGAAGAGTGCGGCAACCGGGGAAAGTCTCTACTAGACATTCAGGAAGAGGAGGAGACGGAAGGATAAGAGGGAAGAAGATGGAGCCCGCAAGCACTATGCCCACTCCTCAAGAAAACCAAAAAATAAGTTGTGTTTCACACTGTCACACCCCATACAAAAGCCCCTCCCCCCCACCCCTATAGATAGATCTATAAATCTATAGATCTACCTACAGATCTATACATAGATCTAGATCGTGGAGAGATCTATTCAGAGACGTGTAGATTTATTGACCTGATCGAAAAGCAACGTCGCTATGAACGCTTGGCTGCCTCAAGCCAGTTATCCCTGTGGTAACTTTTCTGACACCTCTAGCTTCAAGTGCTGAAACACTCAAGGATCGGTATGCAATGCTCTCACAGTTTGTACTCATTACTGGAAATCAAAATCGACGAGTTTTTGCCCCTTTCGCTTCACACGAGACTTCTGTTCTCGTTGAGCTTATCTTAGTATACCTGGGTCTATACATCTAGTCAACAGATTTATCTGTAGATCTGCAGATCTATGTATAGATTCACATATCCACGTACAGATGTACAGATGGATCTTTCGAACTAATTACTTTTGTTTTCAGTTTTCTTTATGTTTCTTTTAAAAAAACAAAGGACAACGGCCTTGAGATATCGTCATTAAGCTGACCCGCCCCAGGCAATTCAGAAATAGTTGGTGTTACTCATCAAGTTCCATCATCTGGATTCGAACTCAGGTCTTTGTTTCAGCAGTTCATGGGTGTACCCGCTGTGCTAGGCTCTTGGGTCGGTTCTTATTTTTTTTAATACAGGCGATCCTAAGTGCAACGAAGTGGCCTCTACCAAGAAAATTCGGGAACGCCTTCAACTTTTTTGTCCGTGTGTCGGCACGAATTGTGGCGTCAGAGTTTCCATAGTACATGAAAATGGAAGGATATTCCAGTCTAGTAAGAATTTTAGCCTGTGTCCCAGCCGAAAGTTGTCCAAAAATGACTAGTAGAATCACATATAGATTTTTCCCAAATTTTCGATTTTTTTTTCATGTTCTCCTTCATGTGGTAGGCGGTGCAAGTTGAGTTCAAACCTCCATACTGTACGGCAGTCGTACCCTAAGCACGCCACAAGCAGAAACCCTCCTCCATACATTCTACCGGGTGTTACGTAGCTGTTATCAGAGCTGGTTGTTGAATCGCCGCATTGTCAGGCCTGCGGTATTGCCACATCAACATACCAGCAGTGCACCACGTCAGCACCCATCCGTGCCCTGTCAGCACCATGTCAGTAAACGACCTCAAATAGGGTATCGTTTTAAAGGATTTCTCTAAGGGGATTAACCCCGCATGCAAAGGAGAACAGACTACTGAGGTAAATCTGTAATCCATCTCAAGGACTTTTCTCCTCCACCTCAGTAGTTTGTTATCCATCGACGGATATTCAAAGGAGAACAGACTACTGAGGTGGAGGAGATGTGTGTGATACAGCGGGTAGGTCATGGGGGGATACGAGTGAGGAGAGGCTAGTAATCGCCGATGGCAGTGGAGACGTGATCATCACAGAACGAAAAGAGAGAGGAGGTGGAAAGAGATATGGTGGGCAAGGCCAACTGTCACATGCCTAGGATCTGAACCCAGGCATGTCGCAGATCCCGAGAACCGCCCCAAAGAGAGCAATGATGCACAGCGGAAGACTAATATACAAAGACCTGACTCATCAATGACTCAATGGCACGACTGCACATACAACCATCACCATGCAAGTGGGAAACGGTTCAGCGCTGCACAGCGCTGCATGCATAGAGGAGGTGCTGTACCAGACACATCCACAGACGAAGGAGGAATAAGGAGGGAGATGAAGACGTCCACCCAAGTAGTCCAACGCATCCCAGTCTCCAATGATAAATCGGCAAAGTCGCTGTTCCTACAATGTCCAAGCCGAGCAATAGCCCACTGTTAGATGTCACCAAGTCGGGGTCTAGCCCGAATGTCACCAAGTCTTGATCTCTAAAATCTCTCTCTCATGTCACCAGAAGAAGACGAAGAGCTCTGGAGGGTGGAAAGAGGAGCGATGGAGGATGGAGGAGCGGAGGAGAGAAGATGAAGAAGAAGAATCCTCTGGCCTCCGTAGTGACCCTCTCTCGCTCGAACCTACTCCTCTTACTCCAAGGGCACTCTTGTGGGAGTGCAGCTAAGGACTCCGAGCTCTCAGGCCGCTGCTGCTCATGATGTCAACACGATGAGCCCAGCGCTGAAGACTACAGCCCAATGGCGCCCAGTGATGAAGACTACAGCCCAATGGCACCCAGCGATGAAGACTACTACTACCTCCCACTACCTCCCACTACCTGCTGGACTCGACGTGGACCAGCTATAAATAGTGCTAGTCCGGTCTGGAAAGAGCCTGGCCTACTGGACTACAATTTGGCGGCTCAAATGGAACCTGGCAGCCAACTGAAAATGAGGCTGGCCGACCGAAACTGGGTCTGGCACCAACACATGAAACACCATCAGACCAACACTCACGACTAAAACTAGACCGCGCCAATGAAATGGCACCATACCGAAAACTGGGCCCTACCGATGAACCTAGGCCCGAAGCAATGCCCAACCTGGAAACAGACCCGAGTACTGGACCTGGACCTTACGAACAAACCCATAACTGGACCTCTACACCCTGTAGACCCATAAGTCCCCCACACCTACCATCAGGCCCTGCAGGGGCCCGTGTGGGAACCGTGCATGACCCCCCCCCTCCTTGAAAGACCGAGCTCACCGCTGAGGGCATAGCTGTCTCTCGGACGGGGGAGCGGAAGTCCGGGGCTTTGAAGACTTGCACCTGTCGTCGCATCTCATATTCGCTACGTGAATGGTGTCGTCGCATCTCATATTCGCTAGGTGAATGGTGTGGAAGCTTGCAAGTCTGCTCATGAGATCCAACGCGTGCCGTTGTGGTCGCATTGCTTGAAGTCGACCTTGTACTGCGCCGGCTTGTTGCCATAGCGAGGATGTGTGATGACCCGATCGATTTCCTGATTGGCCGTCCATCGAAGGAGGGTCCTGTGATCGTCGGCCCAGGAACTCCTCGCTCTAGGCTGGTGTGTAAGTGGCCAGCTTCGAAGCGTGGAAGACCAGGTGGACCGGGAGATGCGGAGGGATGTCGATGACCAATGACTGGCCGTCAGGCTGGTCGCCAGCAGCTACTCAAATGGTCCATGGTCCGAATTACTTCAGGGGCAGCTTGCGCGAGACGCCTCTCTCGAGTGCAAACTCCTCGGAGGAGACACATACCAGGTCGCCTGCGCGGATAGGACATGGCAAGCGACGCCTATTAGCTTACTGCTGCATGCAGACTTGAGCCCTTTGCATGTCCATGTTGGCATTGGCCAGCAAGTCTCGAAACTTCCGAATTGAGGCGGGAGAGCAAGGTGTGACTATGTCGGGTGCCCGAGGAAGTGAAACATCAGCGAAGATACAGCCTTTCCGGCCACTACGGTGCAACTCGAAAGGAGTCCCTCCGATCACCGGGTGCAATGAAGGGTTGTAGGCAACTTCGATGCCGCGGAGGCGGTCAACCCAATTCTTCTGATCCGGATGGATGAGCATACAAAGCATCATTTGAGGGGTTTGATGTGCCTGCTCCGTTTGCCCATTCATTTGATGGCGCCCAGCGGAACTCGATTTCATCTCAGTGTCGGACTCCTTCATACAAAGCATCATTTGAGCGGTTTGATGCACCTGCTCTGTTTGCCCATTCATTGACAGCGCCCAGCGGAACTCGATTTCATCTCGGTGTCGGCCTCCTTCATGAGAGAAGTCTAGAATGCCGACACGAATCAACTGTCGTGGTTGCTAATGGTGTCTTCCTGAACGTCATGACTGCAAATTGAGCCTGTATGCAAGAGCCACGCGAGCTCGGGCGCCATCCATGTTACTTGCATGGGAGAAATCAAGCGTGCTTACTCAAATGGTCAATGCCCGTGAGGATACCATCATGGC